CCTACTACAGCAAATTTCCGGGAGATATAGAGCTAGTCCGAAATCTAGCAACGCATATCGGCACTTCTCCCAAGGGTATTGATCTTCCTGCAGGTGGTCGTCTGACAGTGCGTCGACTGTTGACTGTGGGGCACATGTTTGGCCTCCATGGTGGCGTCGACACTGTCCATTCCTTGCTCCTGAGAATGAAGTCTGATCTTGATCAGTTCAAATTCTTCACCCGGCCAACCCTTACTCAGATCGAACAGCACATGCTGCCCTTCGATATTGCGCCCATCTACGCCATCTTGCACGAAGCTATTTACTGCTACAAGAAAGGCCTGAGATCGGACTGGGCAGCTAATCGGATTGGTCAGAAGCTGTCAGAGTTCGCCTGGCTGTCAGACCGCCCACCAGGTTTCAACAGCGAGGCCTTCGAGAAGACAACACTGTACTTCTCCGGCGAGATGATCTACCCCTTCATGTTCGATGTCTACCCCGAGCTCAAGCGCATGAAGCAAGCCGCTCACATTCTAGCTCACTATGACGAATGGGACAACCTGTACGACGAGGACCAGCTTGCGCGGAACGAGGTCCCTATTTATGCGGCGAGCTTCATCGACGACATGTACGTCGACTGCGACCTTGCCCGCGACACAGTCCGCAAGGTCCAAGGAGTGAAGGTCTTCGAGACGAACTCGATGTATCACAACGCCGTCCGCGCACGGCCTGAGGAGGTTCTTCCGCAGCTTTTCCGACTCAGGGATGACACGATCGATTAGAGACCGGTACTACGGGGCGTGTCGGGACTGGCGGTGCAGACACGATGGCCAACACGAACAAGATCTACGACTGGTTCCAGCAGTTGAGGACAGCCTCTACTGTCTCCATGAGTGCCAATGATGGATCATCAGCAGGCCCAGAGCCCTCGCTGATTTACTGATTAGCAGTGGTTGGTTATTATTATTATATACTACATAGGGATCCTTGGTGCTACTTTCTTCCAGAAATCACAGCGGGTCTTGAATTGTGTCAGCTCCAGATCTGCAAAGCCCTCTGCGTTGATGTTGAACTCCTCTCCCGTTTCTAATGCCGGAACCCCAACGACGCTCGACGCGGTCAGCTTCAAGGCGTTGGGATCGCCCGTCATGAAGAACGAGGCAAACGCCCCCGTATAGCCTTCGTAGTGAAGGGGGTCCGTTTTCTGCACTGCATTGACTTGGTTCCACTAGAAACAGACTATCAGCATTTTTTCACAACCTGGGGCAGCGTGACATGACGTGACTTACATATATAGTGTCGCTCGCATGCTTGGCGGGACTAATTGAATACTCGCCCAAGTAGCTCCCCTTGGGCGCAGCACCAGCCATCCAGTAAGCCGGGCACGCGAGAACTACATCGCGATAGACAAGGCCGGCTCTCGTGTACGAGCCGTTGTAGCTGTTGAGCGTCTCCGTGCTGCCGACCGCCGGATACAGCTTCCGGGCTTTCTCGATCTCGCAACGCCTCAGCCCCGGCAAGAACCCCCTGAGCCAAATGTCGAAGCTTGCGTCACTCGAGTTGAAAGGCGGCGATCCGCTGGCCTCGGCGTTCTGCAACCCCGGCGGAATGAAGTTCTCTCCCTCATGAGTGTTGTACATGCCGAAGCCGTACTCGATATTCACGCCCGCACCCCCAGGCAGCGACGCCGCTTCCGAGAGCGGCCTCGTGAGGAACCGACCGTCGATCGTTGGGCCCCAAGTGTACGACGATGTGTTGTAAGTATGGCTGCCGGCAACATACAGCGAGGCGTCGCGCAGCGTCTGCACATCCGCCGACTTCAAGCATGCCAGGCTATCCGCCGCGCCGGCACAGCCCGCCTTCGCGACGAACGTGTCGTAGATCCACTGCGCCTCGTTGCTCTCGGAGGCGTACGTCTTGGGCCAGAATGGCGAGCTGGCCAGCGCCTTGTCGAAAAGGGGCGTTTCCTTCTCGCCCGCATGCGCGATCACCTGCGCCACGACGCTGCCGCCACCCGCAGATTGCCCCCAGATGCTGATCTTGTCCGGGTCGCCGCCGAAGTGCTTGATGTAAGCCTTCGTCCAGCGGATCGCTGCGTCTTGGTCTAGGAGCCCGGGGTTGAGATCCGAGAGCGGGTCGGCCGCCACCTCCTTCCCGGGCAGGAAGCCGAAGGCGTTGACGCGGTAGTTGGGGTAGACGAACATCAGGTCCGTCTCGGTAGACACGTTCAGGATCGGATAGGCCGAGGGCGGCAACGTGAACGATGCCGACCCCTGGATAAAAGCTCCCCCGTAGAAGGTCACCACGGCTGGCCGTAGGGGCTGCCCAGCTGTCCAGGGGCGACCGTATAGGCCCAGATACAAGCAATCTTCAGAGCCATTGACCTATAGGTAACAATATAAGCCTCAATATCATGATAGCGTATGTATGAAGAGGGGATGATGATCGCCTACCGTCCGCTGCGGACACATGTCAAAGGTCTGACTAGAGTTATATGGCCCATCAGTGATAGGGGCTGGCGGCTGAGGCCCACGGAAACGGTTCTGTCCTACAGGAGGCGCTGCAAATGGGATCTTTTGCCAATATGATATGTTATACTGCTGTGAATATGCTCCAACGAAGGTGCCGTAGTCCAGGTCGGCTACCAAGTTCTGGGCTACGGCACATGTTGCCATGACTCCCAAAACAAAGATCCTCGCCATCGTAACGAGCCCCATCTTCCTAATCGATCAAGAGACTGGCAACTATCTCGGCCGTGGTACAATAAACTTTCTGCCATCATTGCTACTGTGCGGCCGGGTCCCGCCTCCCCTACTATATATGCATGAGGGTGTCGTATAACGGTAGGTAGCAGTGGCACATTGCCCGAAGCGATGGGAGCTTCTGGGCGTGGGGAAGCATGGAGAGCTACTCTACTGCCCCTCACCAGATCAAGATGCCTCTCTGTGGGGTAGCTCGATAGTGCGGTGTGGAGAAGAACCAAGAAAGACTTCACCAGATGACGGCATTCGCGGGCGGAGCGTGTATTCAAGATCGCGTGGCATCAGGCTAGAGCAAGTCCGCCAATTGCGACCGCATGTTGATTTCCTCTACGGATAAATGGGAAGCACCAGAAGCAAGCCCGCGATTCCCAGCCCTCGGTCCCTGATGCAATAATACCCCGAACTGCGCATTTTTCCATCACAGCAATACATCAGTAACACAAGACGAGCATATTCCTTTTTTTTCTTTTGGCTTGTCGGGCACAAAATGAAATCGTAGGAACGCACGCAAAGTATGAAACGCCTGCTGATGAACTAACCCGGCAAGCTCCTTTGGTCCGACCCTACATATTTTGCTTCCAGAAACGCAACCTCAGTACGATGAAACCCCTGTAAAATTGACATCCTGATGCCAGACTACGGAAGATCCACAAGGATAGTCTTGCAAGAAACCACAAGCCGCTGAAACCCTAACAAAGACTTGGACTAAGAGGACAACGAGAAGAATCTTTGAATGGCAATAACCCGGGAAAAAAAAGATCATGTGCGTTCCATAGGTGCTTTTGTCGTTTTCAGTAGTAGTATCTCGGTGCCCTGGGATGCGGGACTCGATGATATGGGGGATCGATAATCGGTGGTGGAAAGTACCATTGCCTCTCCATGCTTGGTAGCGCGCGGCCGTTGATATCTTCCTCCCTTCTCGTGGCCGTCTCGCGTAGGATCAGTGCACCGACCTCGGGATTGGTGATGAGAAATTCAGACGTCTCATCTGGAGCTCGCTTCCACAGCAGTGGCTGCAAAAACCCTACCCGAGCGAAGACCATCTTCAGCAAGGTATCGCTCTCGCTAACTCCCCCATATATCTTCCTGCACAGATGTAGAACCTCTGGCTGAGCAGCATCCGCGCCTGCTGTCTCGAGCATGTCTATGGTCGATCGCTGTATCTTCTCCTTAAAGTCGTCCATGAGGAACTTGTTTGCGCAGATGTATACGTCGATGTTAAGCTCATAGGCCATGAGCCACGTCCGTAGATCTTCCCCCTTTATTCTTCCACCAGCGTTCGGATCAGGAGGCGACGGAGGAGGTGGTGGGGAGATAGCCCGCCCAGGACGGCCATCGACACCTCGTCGATGGTGGTTGCGCCTTGACCGGTCAGTGTTCACGATCACGGCACCGGGCGGTGGCAGCGGCGGCGCAAGGGGTGGTGGCACGCGTGGTGCGGCGCAAGACCAGCATGGTGCTCCTCCGGCCTGATGGCATTGTGGACAATTACACTGTGGCCGATGAACGCCGGGGTGCTTCTGCCTCAAACGCTCTAGCTGGCGCTCGTCACGTCGTCGTCTCCGATCGTGCCGTCTTCGGGATCGTGCGCTACTATCGCTCAAGAAGCTGCCTGAAGAATCGGTGTCGGAATCGGACGCGTCGTTGCCAGCATCCTTGCCCTTGCCCTTGTCCTCATCTGGTACTATGTGCTGTGAGTATATCAAGTTACCAAGGGCTTTCCTGCGCTACTTACTTAAAGCTGAGGACAACGACCTTGTGGGAACGTATGTGTTCTCATACAGATACGCAACCAGGAAATGGAAAATACTTGGGTCTTCTTCTGGAAGGTCAACAGATTGTGCCTCGGACTCTCTGAAGTCTCCGCAAAGTGCCTTGCGGAAGTATTCGGATTTTAATAAGATATTTTTGTGCACCTAGTGAAGTAAGTAAAATATCCAGAATTATGAGTTAACTCCATGTACTTACCTGAAAAACTTCATAGTTGGGATATATTCCCACGCGCAAGGGGATCACAGAAGAACTGAAGCGACTAAATATACCAAGGTTAGTTGAGGTATTGTTGCTATGGCCCGTAAAACGTAGTAGATCCCCTAAGATCAGAGAACAAGAAGAGTCGTGGGATGTGGCATCGAAAAGGAAAACGCAAGCAAGCAAGTCGGCTCATGATATTGAGGGTATTAATCATGATGCAGTTCTTCAAGGCCTATAGCGCGATAAAAAACGCATGAGAGTTAACGAAATAAACGCACCCATCGGCGGTTGATAACCATAAATCTTCCTTTGGGTCCAAAGTCTCCGGGCGATTGAGACCTTCGGGCAGCGTACTCAGAACAACAATATCGGGCGTTGTTGTAGACGGTGCTCTCATCACTTCATCTAGGGTGCTCGAAGTTCCTCGTCCCGGGGTCGAGCTGCTGCCCTCACCATTCACCGCCGAAGTCATTCCGCGCGCCTGATGATAGCGGCGCTAAACGCAACTCCGAAATGATGGTAAGTGGAAAGAATTCAAGAGTGCGGAACCAGCGTCCGGGTCCGAATCAGCGCGCTTTAAACTAGAATTGAGTCGCCGTGTCTCTCTTCAGTATATCATGAGCCTTGTTTGCCTCAAAAATGTAACAAAGACGGCGACACCCAGATTGTGCGGAGAAAAAAAAAGAAATGCTGGTACACCCGATCCAAAAGAAGCCAAGAGGCAGCCGCTTGAAGGCTGAGAAGGCGAGGTGTGGTAGTGGTCTCTGAAGCAGGCAGCCACACCGGTTGGCGGTCGAATAACACGCTTCTCAATCGGTAGATAGACCCGGGTCTCCCCATGTGAGTCTTAGAATTGTGGTGGTGCTGCGTCTGTTGCTGTCGTTGGCTCTGAGATGTGGCTGTAACTCTTGGGGGCAGTGAGGTACAAAAGCGGCCTGGCGGATGGCCGTCCTCTTTTCTGGCGAGGCGCATTTGTCGCCGTTCGAACCATTGCTCTGCGTACCGGGAATTCGACAAGCATGCAACGCAACCGGTCGAGTCACTATTGAAAATTTCTTGTCTGTTGTGCAACGGCACCACGAGGAGACGAAGGTGTGCCGCTTGCATCCTTTTGCTGCATGCGAGAGCGCCTGCAAGTGACTACTGCATGACGGAACTCTCGTTGGGAAGCCGCTGACTGGCTAAACTTCTCATTACCTAGGTCACCCGCACTACTCCCTGTGGATGTACCGTTTCGCTGGCAGGACAAGTTCTGTGAGATATACAACCTTGTATGACACGATTGCGAGGTGTTGCAACTAGTCATACAATGACAACGTCTCTATGGTTGCGGTTAGACTTTGGAGCAGAAGACACTCGGCGACTGCCTATCTTCCAGATGCTGTATTTCACAAAAGACATAGCCGCATTTCATACGTCTTTCTTGAGTATGTAATACAAGGGCTGGTCAAGCATTAGAAATATTATTCTTCTTCTATGTCTTGCTGCATCTCCAATTCTACACTCCAAGTTAGTTTGGCTATGAAACAGTATATTCCAAGGAGCAGAAACTTACGCCACAGTCTATTGGCGGAGTCTGCTATGACTTGAGCTTTGCCCAGTAGCTTCTCCTTGTACTTCTGCTCATCCCTAGCTTCAAGTCGCACTTTATTCGGTTGCGCCTGTACGTATTCAGCAAACGTGGCATACATGGCAGTAGGCATGCACACAAACCTGCATCAGAATCGGTA